GAGAGAGAGAGAGAGAGAGAGAGCATTAGCCAAATCTCGGTCACAACAATATGGGATTCTGGAATTATGTATGGGGAAAACATGTTTCTTGCTTTAATATAGAAGCTCATATCCATTTCTTCCAAACATGTTATTTCAAAATAGACATAAACAACATAACAATAATTATGTTTTCCTACCTCATAATTCCGAAATCTCATGTTATTGTTATAAAAATTTGGTCAAAAAGTAAACGTATGTCAACAATGCAACTTAAAAAATATCAGTAATAATAGGCCACGATCCACAAAAAATCCCATTTGACAAGGTTTATTGTAAAGATGGACGTGAGTCAAGCTGGTTTAGATTAGAGCCAAACCTAGAAATGAACCAATGTGATAATGATTGATTCCAAATTTTTAGATCCAAAACCAAACCAAACATTGTTTGAAAACTAACCCAAATAAACTCAGGTTAGAAGTGTAGTTCCACCTATTTTTTATTTTATTTTATAACTGCTTATTATAAAACAAAATTTCAAAGAAAAAAAGAGTTATTAAAAAATCTTCTGAAATTACCAATTTGCCTTGGTCAATTCCTCTGTCACTCTTTAAGGATATAATTATTGAATGAAATCATATATGATATATATATATATATAAAATACATATAGTTTGTTTGGGTTAGTCTCAAGCTAATTCAAGAGCCAAACCAACCTAATAGGGTTAATCATTTTTAGACCTAGAATCTCATATTAACAACAACTAACCCATTAATCCATGAATTTTAAATTCTTGGCAAATAACAAATATTCAATTTTATATTAAATAATAAACATTTAAGAATTAAAAATGGGTGCTCGGGCCAAAAGTCTAAATTGTACTTTTGTTTATCCAAAAGTTCAAGCGCTAGAATATTTTGTCCAAAAAGACAAGCTCAAACAAAATGACTAACATGCCCTTCTTTATATATATCATTACACAATCCTGAAACCCTAAAACAAAAAAACAAGTCGCGCTTCCTCTCTCTCTTTCTCTCTTCGCTCATCTTCTCTCTTCGGCCGCTCTCTCCAGCCGCTCTCTCTCTCACCCACACTTGAAACCCTAACTTCAATCACAGAGAAAACCAAAACCAAACCATTCTTCTCCGAAATTTGAGGACGACAGTGCACCTCAAAAGTACCAGAGCGTAGCCCTGATCATCGGCGCGTCACCGGCATCAGTGGCAACAGCCTCGTCGAGATCCTCTCTCTCTCCGACACCCCGACGGCCCCTGGAAAGTCTACCACGTCGCTCGCAGCCCTCGTCCCCATCGAATACATCCAGTGCGATATATCCAATGACGCACCACCGAAGCCTCCTTCGGAGGGTTCAGAATCACCATGATTCTGAGTGAGGAAGGGAGTCCTAGGGCTCCGACGATGCCTCTGCAACCTCCTTGAAGACGGCCGGGAAAAATAGGTTAGGGGTTTCATCTATATTGTGTTTATGCTATCAGAAACCTAGTCCTTAACTTGATTGATATGAGTTTAAATCTGCAGTGGCAGTGGAAGTGACCACAAAGGTGGATGCTGCTGGTGAAATATTAGAGATCTGCACCTCTCGACCTCGCCTCTCTCTCTCTCTCTCTCTCTGATAATTATGGTGATGATGGAAACTTTCTAAGACAATATAGGAAAAAGAACAAGTAACTAGTTTGAAAGAACAACCAATCTTATCTTTCCTTCTCCATATTGATATAGGGTGCTGCATTCATCTCAGAGGCACAATATCAACAGCCAAAGAGCCAAACTTCAGCCCCATTAACGATCCCAAACCCAAACCCTACATTTTCAATAATATTTCCCCCATTTTCTTAGCAGACAATCAGAATAATAAAAATGGAAAATTTTACCGCTTAGAGAAGGGGGAGGTGACGGTGATCTTGCTCTTTTCACGAGAGACGGTGACGGAGTCGCGAAGAGCTCCGGCCTTGCCGCCGACCTTGAGCGGTTCCTGGAGGAACTTTTCCAGTGAAGCGACGTCCATGATCTTATCTTCCATCAGCTGCATCACTCCCTTCTTCTTCCCCTTCGCACCACCACCACCACCGGCAGCGGCTCCGCCGTCTCAACTCATCGTCGCTTCGTCTACAACCACAAGCCGATAGTGACAGACTGAAACTCGAAATATATAGAGAGAGAACACGCCGCTGAAATGACCCAACCGCCTGATTACGGTTAGGGTTAGGTTTCACATGCGTAAGGTGCTGCTGACGTCATGCGAGTCGAGAGTGATTTTGTGGGCCGTAGCCCGTGGGTCATTAGTTTGTGGATTGTTAAAATGTAATGGGCTCGGCCCTCTACAATTTTTGGATTTGGAGATGTGTTGTTTTTAGTGTGGGAATATTGTTGATTAAATTTGATTATTAAATTTTGAAGATGATATTAACATTATGAATTTTGGAATTTGGAGATATGTGTTTATTTTTGCAACATTGTTGATTAAATTTGACTATCCAAATTTAGTACTTAAATTTGTTACCCATTGCACTTGATTTTATTCATTCAAATATCGAGGGATGTTGAGCCCCCCTCCCCAACCAATCAACTAGCACTTGAAAAGTATATTGGGCATATTTAATGCAGCTTTCTCATGTTTAATATTAACATAATCGGAAAAAAAATTAAAATCTTCACCCTTTCATCAGTTTCTAAATAATTAGCTATTTTAAACTAATTTTTCATCTTATAAATTACAAGTAAAAGTTGCATAACACATTCTAGCATAAGTTCTTAAAATAAAAATAAATAAATAAATCATTTTAAATAATTACAAAGAGAATTTATAAACTGCACCGAACAAATTGAAAATATACCGTTATTAAGTAATAACAGATCTTATAATATTAAATACATCGTTGTTGAGTAACAACAGATCTTATAATATTGAAAATGAAAGACAAAAACAAATTACATAATAGAAGGAAGAAGAAGACAATCTACAAATGCAAAAAATGGATATCTCCAACTCTAAAGAAAGATACATATATATGTACTCCACAAAAACATCTCTTCTTTTTCCCTCTTTGTTTTGGGAAATGTGTGAAAAGGAAGTGACAGAGAGACAATAAATATAGTTGTTTTAAAACATTTATCATGTTCTACTCTTGCCTCTTTCTACTTTCTTCCTCACTGCGCCCTTTGGTTTATGTCAATCTATGCTGAGGACATACCCGTGGCGCCACTGCCCTTTTAGTCGTCAAATATGCGTTGTCGGAAGTCAAAAACCGTGCAAGGAAGGCCGTCCCGGAGGGAGACAACCGGCTCCCACCCGAGAAGTTCTTTGGCCTTTGAAATGTCTGGCTTTCTCCTGTGGGGGTCATCCTCTGTGTTTGGCCTGAACTCTATCTTTGCATTTGAATCAACGGTCTCTTGTACCACCTGCACCAACAAGTCCAACATGATTCATAAACACTGCCTCTTTTTTTTATTTGTTCATCAAATAATAGATGGGGAAATGGATATAGGATTCATACATGCATTGTACTACAAATTGATTCAATGCAATACAAAAAATATGGGCAACATCCATGTAGAAAATACCAATCGAATTTCATCAAATATATAATATAATAGTAATGCTATACCCCCAAAAAAAATGTAAAGAAAATCAATACAAAAACAGGGCAAATGTTGATTTTATCACTTCAGCAGAAAAGAGTCATCAAAATGGCTTGAATTTTAAGAAAATGTCACTCACTGTTCCATCACTCTGGTCATGAATTCTTTATTTGTAAAAAAACCTGGAAAAATTGATTTTTCCATAATAGAATGTTGGTGATGATTGCTTCAACAACATCAATTCATTATGAATATTTGATGATAATGTAATGATGCTTCAGTAAGTTCCTAAAAATGCATGGTGAGCACAACATGGTTCAGATTGCATTATTTTCTGCTGATTTAAATTTCATATATGTTCTTCCAACAATATATGAATAAATTTGTGAAATTGATGAGAATGTGAATATATAATTCAAGAACCAATTTACCTGAGCAAGTTCAAGCATGGTGAATTCACCAGGGTTGCCAAGATTGAAAGGACCAACATGTTTCCCTTCCATCAATCGCATCAAGCCCTTCACCTATTCATCAGGTACAGACACGACACGACACAACATCTCTAATTAATTTTAGTAATAAAACGAAGAGTATACTAGTACAGGATATTCAAAAGTTTACCCCACAATCCCAACACCTCTAATTAATTTTAGTGACAAAATAATATGAGAGGACAAGATATTTAGAAGGTTACCCCACAACCCAACCACCACCCAGTCCTTAGGAATTAGTCGATTGGGAAATTAAGCCATGATAAAAGCCTCAAAAGGTATAGGACACAAGTTCAAATCTCATGAAATGCTCAACTCTAAGGCTTGTGTTCAATAATTACTGGTATGTGTGAGACGGAAAAACTATATATATCTAAGTAATTAATCAGGACAAAGTCTCAGATACCCTCGTTACCAATAACAAAACAAAAAAGCGACCACTATCCTTCCCCTACATCTTGCACTCCCCTCCTCCTCCTACCCCACAGCCACAAAAAGGAGATATGATATTAAACATTTCAACAAAACTCCTCAAAGTGTCATTAGCGATCACAGTTTTTTCCTTTTTTAAAACATCATAGCTGCTCTTTTAAGAAAGTATTTTAAAAAATAGAAAATACTAAAGCAAGTGTCAATTTTCAAAACATATTGACCATGAATAACTAGAACATGGTAGGGAAAAGAACATCATAAGCATTTCCTAAAAAGACTAATTACCAAGTGAGAGACGTATTGGAAACTCCTAGTTTGGTTGCCATCCCCATAAACAGTCAATGGCTCCTTTCTTAATGCCTGTATGTCCATTACAATTAAAAATCAATGAACACAAATACTACTGTAAAAATAAACTGATATATTATTGATTGATTGATTACAAGATTGTTGTGTTGTTATTTGTATCTGTATATTACAAGTCCTATATATAGAGAGGTTTTGGGAGTAGTAGGTGTAGAGTGGGTGGTGGTAGTAGGTAAAGTGGAGGTGGTAGGTGGAGTGGGTGAGGAGTAGTGGAGGTGTGTAGTGGTAGTGGTAGGTTTTAGTGGTGTAGGAGGTGTACATTAACAGCCCCCCTCAAACTCAAGGAGGATAGGAACTAACCAACTTGAGTTTGAAGAGAGTAACAAAACAGAAAAATAAACTGATAAATAAAATAAAACAGGATAGGAGACACGGTATGGTCGTGTCAGACCGATGTAGCAGACACTGTGTGGTCATGTCGGACCGTTGTAGCAGACACTGTGTGGTCGTCATGTCGGACCGTGGTAGCAGACACTGTGTGGTCGTGTCAGACCGTTGTAGAAGACAGTTTACGGGGTCATGTCAGACCGTTGTAGCAGACAGTTTACGGGGTCATGTCAGACCGTTGTAGCAGACAGTTTACGGGGTCATGTCAGACCGTTGTAGCAGACAGTTTACGGGGTCATGTCAGACCGTTGTAGCAGAGTTGTGGTGGCACCAAGGGGTGCACTAGGTAGTGCGCCGATGAGGTGAGCTTGGACAATGTCTGTGTAACCTCCCAAAAACTCAAAATGAGGTGTGAAGATAGAACCTATTTGAGTTGAAACAAAGGGATTGATAAAGCTGACCGGTTGTATGAAGACACTGTATGAGTGTGTATATAGGCTGCCCAAAAAGATATACATGGATATAGATATCGAGCCCTCAAAAGTCGTGCCCTCAAAGATGTGTGCCCGCACACCCTCAAAAGGCGTTGCCATTAAAAGGCGTGCCCGAATGCATCAAAAGGCGTGTCATGAAAAGGCGTGCCAGTTTGTCGGCGAGAAGAGGCGCGCGATGCGCGTTGGCTGCCTCTGTGTCATGGTCTTATAAACCGAAGCAGAGGAGGCAAGAAACTGAGACAGAAAACTGAGAGAAACCTCTGAAAAATTCTTCTTTTGCTGAGGAAAGAGAGGTCTTTTGCTGTGCTGAGAGAGATAGTCTGTAACACTCTGTGTGAGAGTACTGTACTCTGTCTGCCCAGAAAATGGCCTTCGTCGTCCCGCGGGCTGCTCACCCTCTTTCCCGACCTCAACGAGTCAACGAGAGAGAGAACTGGTGGGTGGCACTGGAAAACCTCAACCAACCGCCCGGAGTATACTCCGTTGAACTTTCCGATGCGGTCTGTGGAGCAAAGAATGGCAGTGCTGTCGGATGTGGAGGCAATCAAGTATACTTTGAGGCATGCGTGGAAAGCATGACGGCGGTCACAAACTTGTCGAACCGGCTGCAGAGTAGGACAAATGAGGTGCAGCAATTAACGCTCCCAACTGGCTCTGCTCCAACGCATGTATAAGGATGCGCGAGCAGAGATAAGTGTGCTAAGGAGAAAACAAGAGCTGAAGCGGAAGGCCACCGTGATGTTCGATTTGGAAGGGTCCGCATATACTGTAGTGGAGGAGCAGAGTGGAGTGATCGTGCCCAGTGGAGCGGGAAAACACGGAGGCAGCACCCGTCAAGGACTGCCCAGGACGGAGGAAAAAGGAAGAGACGGCGGCAGAGTAGAGAAGGGATAAGAAAAATCCCACTGTGGGTGTGGTTGTTTGGGGTGTGTTTTTTTTTTTTTTTTTTTTTTTTTTTTTTTTATATGTAAAATGTTATGTAAAATGGTGATCGGGGTGAGTCCCGATATGAATAAAATAAGATTGGTGTGTAGTTCGTCTTCTGCGGCTGCAATTGGTTTTTTTTTTTTTTTTAAGAAATAAATAAAAAGAAATAAAAATAATAAATGTGGAATCAAACGGAGGAGAGAGGGGACAAGTCACATGCGTGTGTTTTGGTTTGTTTTTTTTTTTTTTTTTTTTTTTTTTTTAAAAATTTGTTTTTTTTTTTATTTTTTATTTTTAATAATAAGAATAAGAATATAGTAAAAGAAAGCAGGTGTGCTTGCATAAAAAAAAGGAAGGAATGGAGATTAAACAAAAGAGTAGTGGGTTTGAAAGTGAAAAATAAAAAAAAGAAAAGAAAGGGAAGCATGTGAAGAAAGAAAAAAAAAGCTGTGGGTGCAAGTTGTGTTGGTAATATATTAAAATAAAAGAAATATAGTGCAAGTGTGTTGGTAGAACTGTGATCACCACCATTCACCAACCCTCAAGCCGACTTTACCACATGTTTGATAAGGTAGTTTTGCTCTCTGAAGGCTGCCCCATCTACTATGGTCCTGCATCAACAGCTTTGGAATACTTCTACTCAATTGGTTTTCCAACATCCATCACAATCAATCCGGCCGATCTCTTGCTCGATCTTGCCAATGGAATTGAAAAAAAAAAGATGCGTCCGACTTTACCACATGTTTGATAAGGTAGTCTTGCTCTCTGAAGGCTGCCCCATCTACTATGGTCCTGCATCAACAGCTTTGGAATACTTCTACTCAATTGGTTTTCCAACATCCATCACAATCAATCCGGCCGATCTCTTGCTCGATCTTGCCAATGGAATTGGAAAAAAAAAGGATGCGTCCACAAGAAGCAATGTAAAGCCAGAGCAAAGGTGCACAAGTTGGTGGCATCAATTCAAGGTGCCATTTTTTCTGGTTTCGTAAAGGAACAAACCCGAAGGGCAGGCAAGCCTTTGTGAAGTCAATAGAGCGCTTTGTAAAATGGTGTAGAGAGAGAGGCGGAGGAGCGGCCGTACAAATGGCCGCCGCAGCCGGAGAAGCCGTTGTCGGGGGACTGTTGCGGCAGCGGATGCGTCCGATGCGTGTGGGATGTGTATTACGCAGAGCTCGAAGATTACAACATAGTGAAGGTATGTATAGAAAATAAACGGAATAGGTGGAGGTCCGGCGGACGGCTAAGGTGAGGTTGCCGCCCGCCGGTGAAGCGAAAAATAGTAGGTTTTAAACCTGCTCTGATACCATGTAAAAATAAACTGATATATTATTGATTGATTGATTACAAGATTGTTGTGTTGTTATTTGTATCTGTATATTACAAGTCCTATATATAGAGAGGTTTTGGGAGTAGTAGGTGTAGAGTGGGTGGTGGTAGTAGGTAAAGTGGAGGTGGTAGGCGGAGTGGGTGAGGAGTAGTGGAGGTGTGTAGTGGTAGTGGTAGGTTTTAGTGGTGTAGGAGGTGTACATTAACAACTACAACAACATGAAACTATCTTAAAAACATTGTATTGTTCAATAATCAGGAAAATGTAAAAGAGGGGCATATAAAAAATACACCTGGGCGACGAAATTGCTAACGACAAGGCCATCGTCGATGCACATACGTGGTCCATAAGTGTTAAAAATTGTAGCAATCCTCACCTTCAATGCCCATCAAAACGTACCTAAACTTCATCGAATTTGAAAGTAATGATAAACACTTTTGGTCAAAGCAATGCATAATTTATTATTGAGTAAATGTTGAATATAACATGTGGTGGTGTTATTAATTAATGAGAAGGCCACATGACGAGGTTAGTGGGAGATAAAAATATCTATTGAATTGCATTTACCAGTGAGATTATCCCGTCATTATTGTACTCAATATTTGTTTATTATTATTATATCTAAAAACCATATTTGGGTATTTATTTGAATGGGTGTTTTACAAAAGACTAACAACATGATGTTAGGGGTCCTTCTTTATCTAATAAAATTAAGGCAAATATTTTATAATGTAGTTGAGGTTATGTAAAATGTAAATACAAATATAATATTTAGATCCCACCCTCATCTCATTTGCCAACACATTTTTTAATTGTCAACGACCCTAATTAAACATTGATCTACATCACTTTAAAAGGAACCATATAAATTATAACAATGTTACTTTATCCTTGGTTGTCTTTTTTATTTTTAATAATGTACTTCAATGATAGAATGTGGCCAGAATCTTTGCAATAGGTAAATTTTGGGACATATTTGTAACTAAAGAAAGGAATAAAACACTACTACTTAAAATTTGGTATTAAGGTCAAGTTTGGCAAAACCTAAATAATACAAAAAGTCAAAAAGTCACTATCCTATTTAAGTCATATCATCTTATTTAAATCATATCACCTCTCTAACACATCACATCAAACTCAACCCAAACTCAACCCATATAAGCTAATAAGTCAAAAAGTGCACTTTTTTAGAACATCCCAAACCAACCCTAAATTAGCTTCATCAAAGTCTGAGTAATATTATATAAATTAATAAATTTTACAAAACAAAAAATTATTTGCAGAAGTAGTTTTAAGATTGGTTTGGAGTGTCCTAAAAAAATGTACTTTTTGTCTTTTTACGAAAAGATGTGCAGAAAAGTAGAGAGGTGATGTGATGGAAAAAAGATAAAAAAATAAAAAAATGAATTATATAGTGTATGCCAAACCAACCCTTAATTATATCATTTGAATTGCACAAATTGCATAAAAATCATTCACATCACACAAAAAAAGACACAGTAGGAATCACATAAAAAGAGAGAGTCGAACTCACATGTGAGCCCCCCACAATCTTATGGTAGATTGTCTGTTAACACTGTATATGTACACATATACATATAAAAAAAAAAAAATGTAAAATTATATAAAATATAGATATATTTTATTCACATTTCACATATATTTTTCTTTTCTATTTCCAAATCTCCCATAAATAGATTTTTTAGTAAATCCTATTTGTATTGATTCATGCTACATATATAAGAAACGTCGGTAATTTTATAATTTTTATATAATTTTCCAGAGGATATAACTGATATTTTTTTAGGATTGAATAAAACCAAATGACAAAAAATGCAAGGAACGTATCTAATAGATATATATAGAATTCTCTTTAAAATCAATAAAATATTTTTTGGCAGATTTATTTTTTTGTTGTTTATTTTTTTGCTTTGTTATTTGGTTGGGTTGACTGTCTGGGATCTTGTTTATATACTATTGTTATTTTATTAATATAATATTTATCAAAAATAAAAATAAAAATAAAAAAACAGTAAAATGTTAAATTTCCTGTGACATTTCCATAAATATTGTCACATATATTTCTTGTGAAATAACTAAAACATAGAACATAAACCAAAAAAAAAAAATTAGCCAAAACTTTCCCCAGTTCACCAGAATAGGAAGCTCAAAATGAAGAGAGCAATTCAAAAAATCAAACTCTAGCATTAACAAATTGCAGAACTATTGTAATCTGTAAAACAAAACTCAAGATGCCAAGTTCTGAAGTATAAAAGTACTCTAAACAAAGTAATTCTAAGATAGTGTAGAAAGGGAATGTGGGGATGGAAAGGAAATCCTTTGCCAGGAAATTTAGTCTTCATCCTCTCCCTCATTGTCAGCAATGTTGAAGTATCACAACTCATAAATGTTACGGTCCTTGCTCAATGCAATTACTCGAAGCCAATCCCAGACATTGTGTTTCGTCAGATATTTCTTTGTCAGATACTTCAGATATTTGAATACAACCCACTATTTAAGATAAGCAACAGGGATGCAAAACAAAATTCAACAAGCCTAAAGTGAACTACGGCATAGAACCTTTACCAAATGAGATCTCATTTAACAGAACTATGAAGGTCATCCAATGAGGTACTATTACACACATGTATATGCCCACATCGGATAAATGCCAACAGCAGTGTAATAACTTCCCATAAACATTAAAAATAAAACTTATTCTATATGATCAAGTCAACAACATCCAGAAACAAAAATACACATTTCATAGAGTGAGCTCAAGCAGAATGCAAAAGCTTAAATTTGTTGAGTCTTTTTCAGGTGGGCTCTGTACACAATAAATCGATGCCTGTTAGAGGTGAAGTTGACCATGAAAAAATTCCTACTGCAATGTATTATCCGCTGAAAGGCTTAATGGCCAATTTTATAGCACAGGGAAATGAAGAAATACGTTACAATTCTAAGATTAAAAAAAACAAAAAGATCCTATGTCTTAATTGCCAATTTTATTGCACAGGTCAATGAAGAAAAAAGTTACAATTCCAAGGTTTAGAAAAACAAAAAAAAAAAATCCCGTGTGTTTGTCTGAACAATGAGCTAGTTGATGAAGTTGAGGAAACTGTTTGTTTGCATCATTGAACTGTTTTTGCTCAACACTAACACTAAAACAAATATATTTTCATAATGTCAGCGAGCTAAAGGGAATTCATGCAACCTTTTAAAAAGTAACAGCTCAATATAACCATCACAAAGCTCCTCAAGCACAGAATTACTCAGGCTGAAGCAAATTTTAATGTTGCTGATCAAAAAAGAAAAAAATTGCGGTGGTCGATTGTTTGGCTCCTGCATATTGCTCTAAAGTTCACCACCAAATTTTGTATATTTTGAGTGTTTGTATCTAAAATATTCTAAATAATATATTAGTAATATTATCTCGAAACTTAGTGGGGACAAACCCACCCACCCCATTTCCTTTCTATATATAAATATACCCCATTTCCTTTATTTATATATATATATATATATGTATATTATAATATTATAGATATGCTTACATATTAATAATATTATCTCAAAGCTCGGTGGTGTTCACTATGCACCATAAGAAAAAGAAAAAAACAAAACGGTGGAGGACAAACAAAACGGTGCGTGGTGGCTGCAAACCACCACCAAGTTTCGAAATAATATTATTAATATATTATTTACAATATTTTAGATACAAACAGAGCTAAATATATAACATTTAGGCTCTGATTACTAGCCCACAACTATGTATGACCTCATCATGCTTAACCTTCTTTTTTATTTTACTATCAGTTTCAAATATTTAAAGCAAAATCAATCTAAGAGGTTACTTCGATATGAACCATGGCATACCATTACAACTAAAATTAATATTTTTTGAACCAAAAAAAAATATTCAATGGGAGGTCAAAAAATGTGAGAAAGATGGGCTGGTAATTTTAACAAACAACTGCGTATATATAACGCCCACCCCAAGCATGAACTAACTACTGATAGAAATTTTAAGAGATAATTGTTAAAAAATCCAAGTTATGGAGGGTATAAAGCATTAGATCTAATGAATTTTTTTTTTGATAAAAGTTATACCATTTGTTAAATAATTTGGTAAGAAATCCTTTTATTAATTTTAGAGGACATTTTATTTCTAATTTTATCTCTTAATTTATCTGTTGACTTTTGTTGACTATTTGTTTAAAAATTTTCCCTATCTGTTCAAAAAATTTCACTATCTGTTCAAATTTTCCCTTACCTATTCAAAAATTTTCCCCTACCTATTCAAATATCTGTCCAAATTTGATTATTTATTCAATTTTTTCACTTATCTGTTTAAAACTATTTGTTCAATTTTTTTATCTGTTTAATTTTTTTTTATCTATTTAATTTTTTATCTGTTTAAATTTTAAACATATTTTATTATCTATTCAAATCTTTCTTTTCCCTTTATCTCTCTCAGCCTTATCTATTCAAATTATTTGTTTGATTTTGATCATCATAATCATCATCATCATCAACAACAATAACAATAACACTAACCACCCTCCCCTCCCCCCCCTCAACACAACAATGAACATGATGAACATGCTCAACAGAAGAATAAATCCATAGATTTATCCTTCCATCCAAAATTAAAATGATGAAAACAACATTAGATTGCAAGTACAACAAATCTTGACTCAAATCTTAACTATCTCCTGCTATAATCACACCATTAAAAACTATAAAAAAGGCCCAAACCAGATTGAAAACAAAAAAAAAAAATGTAATATATATAGGGTTAGGGTTTCATATTCAAAGCCATTCACAAAAAGATATAAACACATATACACACACACACACATATATATATACGAATATAAATGTAATATAGCATGAAACAGAGTGAAAATGAGACAAAGAGAGACGGTGACATATATATGGAATCTATCTCTCGGATCACCACTGTAGCTGCCGATCTAAGGTGATAATGAGACGGCGGCGACAGTGTAGATGAGATCAGCAAAGGGAGAGGGAGAGAGAGAGAGAGAGAGAGATCTAAGTACAGGTGGCGAAGTTTGTGGGAGAGAACAATGTCAAAGACAACTTCGATGAGTGCCTTGAGATTATCAGTGCATCACAAGAGCTTGATTGGAGACCAGAGCTGGAGCGGAAGGACCTTGAGAACGAAGCCCTCGCAATCCGACTCGGTGTGCCACAGTGGCAATAGAGAGGGAACAAAAGTGGGAGATGCGGCACCAAACTTAGATCTGTCAGAGTGAGAAGAGGTCATCAATGAAGAGGGCGGAAGAGTGCAATAGAGGAAGCGCGCACGCACAGAGTGAGAGTTTGAAGAGAGAGAGAGAGTGTGTGACTTGA